TGTTGGACTCCTGGCAAGGACCAATGCTGACATGTTCCTGTTTTTAGTTTTCTACATTCACCTTATAATCTAGCTGTTCTGATACTCTTTTTGCCATCTTATTTGTAAAAAAATTAATAAAAAAAATCTGTATGCCTTTTTATAATTGTCTATTGTTGTCACTGTTGTCCATTGTTGTCATCATTCTTTGTTGAAATCAGGTCTCTCTTGTAAATGAGTCCTCGAGGCTCAATGGGATTTACCTGTCTAAATAAAGGTTGAATGAATGAATGAAAAATTAGGTTCCAAAGTAAATGACCACATGAGAAATTATAGTCTTTGTTCTGTGAAATTATCCATGAAACACTTTATGGCAGCAGGCAGTATTAATATCAAATGAAAACTAGAGAAATTGCATTTCCTGCGAAAATACAGTGTGAATGCTTATTGCAGAACTTGCTGAAAAAGGATTCAAGGTTCTTTATTTGTCGTCCCACCACAGCATGTGGTGGAATGAAATTGTGTACACAGAGTCCCAGTTAAATCCAACAAAAGTATTAAAATGCGTGTAAAAAAAACAGAAATAAGATCTAAGATATGAACTAAGAAAAACATGAACTAAAAACACACTAAGCACTAGTAGCATAAAAACAATATGCCGAACAGCAGCACGAACATGAGTCTGTGTGAGCAGATGAGTATGAATGAACACAGCAACATGAAATATATCAGCAATAAGATCTAAGATATGCACTAGGAACAAGGTTAGCTTAAAAAAAAAACCCACTAAAACAACTGAAATAAGCTTAAAAAACACACTGAAATGTAGCTGAAATGGAAGAACAAGCCTAATTTACCAGAAGGAAGCAAGGACACATATTTGCTGAATTAGGTTTAAATGAACAGAAGTGAGCACAAACATTTGGAAATCAGCTTAAAAAAGTTAAACTGAGCAAAAATATATAGCTGAAAAGTAGCTGAAATGACAGAAAGAAGCTTAAACTATCAGAAGGAAACAGAAAGAGCTGAAATTAGCTAAAAAAATTGGAATTACCTGAAAAGGCTAAAAACAGCCTCAAAGAGCTAAATAATAGCTGAAAAAGCTGAAAGGAGCATAACAAGCTGAAATTAACACAAATAAGTTAATTTGGATGAAAGAAGCAGAAATGAGCACAAAACAGTGGAAATGATCTGAAAAAAAAAAACCTGAAATAAGCAAAAACAGCTGAAAAGTAGCTAAAAAGGCATAAAGAAAAATAAAATTACCAGAAGGAAGTGGAGCGAGCACATTTTTACTAAATTAGGCTGAAAAAAGTTACGAGTGCAAAAAATGTGGAATAAGCTGAAGAAGCTAAGATTAGCATAAAAACAGCTAAATAGTAGCTGAAATAGCAGAAAAAGTTTAAACTTGCAGAAATTAGCTGAAAAGAGCATAACAAGCTGAAATTACCAGAAAGAAGTTAGAAGAAGCACAAAAATGTTGTGGTTAACAGAAAGAACCTGAAAGGAGCACAAAACAGAAAAAAAAAAAAAAAAAGCTGAAAGTAGCTGAAAAAAGGTTTAAATTTGCAAAATGAAAGAAAAGACTAAATATTTCAAAAAGTTAAAGTTGTACCAATACCAAAAGTCAGAGCACCCTTCTCCTGAACCTTTTGAAATATGATTTGTTGAAATAGCAAAAAAAAATTGTGGAACGAGAAAGATGCTGAAAAATGTACAGAAGACAAATGGATCATAGTGTGAATGTTTCACACAATAAGTTCCTGCTTTTGTGTGAATGTATGTGTGTGTGTTACCCAAATATTTTCTGAACCAATGGACAAATATTTAATTCAATTACTAGTTAATTCAATTTTTGGTGTCAAGACCATTCAAAATGGCTGCTTTAGCCAAGTGACTTTAAAAGAGATGCAGATGGCTCTAACTCAGCTAATTTGACAGATAATGACTTAACATTTCAGAGAGTCAGAGTCAGAGAGATTTATTTGTCATACACACTACACATGATACATGAGGTGGGACAAAGCTATGTACACAGGGTTCCAGTTACATCCAACAAAAAACACAAATTTTAAAGAACAACATGACTAAGATCCGAGTCATGAACTAAGAATACACTAAGTACTAATGGTACAAAAACAATGTGCCAAAACACCAGCAGCACGAACATGAGTTTGTATGAGCAGATGAGGACGAATGAACACAGCAACATGAAATAATCAGCAGCATGAGATCAGCATCATAGTCAACAGCACATATCAACAGCCAAGTGGCATTACAGCGATTTTCACAGGGGTTTTTTTTTTTCATAGTAATTTTCACAGTGACTTTTCCAGGTTAGAGATTCATGAGTCTAACAGCCTCAGGGTAGAAGCTGTTCCTCAGCCTGATGGTTCTGCACTTAATGCTCCTTAGCCTTCTGCCTGAGGGGAGCGGGGTTTATATTTGGTGTGGTAGCTGAAACTTGTCACTACACTTAGAGCGCTAATGACTTGCACAAGAGCTTTGTTTCTGATTTTGTCTGTTAGCAAATATCTCATGAACCATAAGACACATTTTAATCTAACTTTCAGGAAATAATCATTAGATGTTCCTCTTTAACTTCTGGATCAACCAGCTGACCACAGAAAACTAAAAACAACAACAACTCTCAATCTGATGGATTTGAAGCTAAAATTTGCTGTAGTTGTAGCTGAGAGTCATTCACAGCACATGTTTCAAGTGCTACTCAGGTAGGAAGATCTTTAACTAAAACCTTGGCCTTAACAACTGGAGTCAACTCTATTTGTCTGTTAGCAAAATATCTCATGAACCACTAGATGGATTTTATTAAAACCTTCAGAACATTGTCATTGGTGTACATGTACAGGGAGTCGGTTCAATTCAATATGGCTGTCATAGCTAATTAACATTAGTCAATGCAGAAATGTACACAATTCAACTTATTTTCCAGTTACTGAGCTAAAGTTATATTTGGTAGTAGCTGGGAGTGATTTACAACACGTAATCTGAGTGTTACATCTCGTGATACTGCATGATTGCATAAAACTTCATTTTCATGATTTGACCAAATTTTTGCCTTTTCTCCACATAATATAATATGAATTCATTGATGGAATGCTAGAACTTTTACTTCTTAAGAAAACAGCTAAAATATTAAACATGTAATGCAACACGTCATGCTGTGTTTTTATGAGACCTCCACATATTTAATGATTCATGTGTTGTTTTTTCTGACAGCCTGTTTAAGTTTTTAAAGACTCTTTTTTTTTTGTCCAGTTTGGGTGCAAAAGATGCAGAAAGATGTCAAACATGGTGTGAGATGACTGATGAAGCTTCAGCTCATAGACATATTATGACTGGTTTATAAAGTTCATCCACAGTCTTTGGTTCCGGCTCAGTTTCACAAAGCTGGAAGTTACCGAAGACTTTACATCCGTTGTTTCTAATAAATGTCTCGACTAAGAAGGTCTTAATGTTTACTATTTGAATTTTCCCTCTCAATATCCCCAGAAGAAACATGAGTTTTGATGCATCTCTAAGTTCCTTGAGCTTTTGCTTCTGAAGGTCTGTTTTTCTGCTGCCATCTTGTGACTGTACTAAATATTTACATTTCTTTGAATTTTAGAACAAATCCAAAATAAATTGACAATTTGAATCTCATACATCATTTAGAATAAGTAGTTGGACATAAAAATATAATTGTTTTCAACATTTACCTATTTAGAGTAAATATATTTTTTAAACGTTTTCAAAGAGAAAAACTTAAATAATACATATTAAATACAATTTGTGATCAAATTTTGTATAAAGCATTTGATTAACATAGTATTAAAATAAATTAAATCTGAAAAATATGCAAAACAGCAAAACTCAAGTAAATAAACATTTCAAAAATGTTATTGCAAAGTCAAATTGGATTATAAAATAACATTTCTGTGTTTATCTTCTTCTCAAGATTACATAAAAAAAATAAGTAATGTAAAATAATTGGTACCTCATTTCTTGTTTTGTCACTAACAACTCGCATATATATATATATATACACATACACATATAGGTAGGTATGTATGTATGTAATTTGGACATATATTGGATTTTTATTTCAATGGAACAAGCTCAAAAGATGTTTGAGATCAGAAACTTGATTTAGTTTTAGTTTAGCAAATTCCAGGTTAAAGCACAACATTTTACAGGCATTTTTTTTTTTTTAATTTTTTTTTTTCTTTGAAATACAACCACAGTTTAAACTATACAATCCTATTTGAAAGAATATTTTTTGGATACATGGTATAGGATGTTTAACACGAGAAAGTACTTAAATGTACAAGGATATATATATTATTGAACTAGAAATTAACAAAAAATATAAAGTTTGCAATAACAGTGCAGAAGAAGTGAGATAGCTACAAAGATTATAAAGTATTTCAGGAAGCATAGATAGAAAACTGGCAAAACCCTTTAAGACATTTTACATTCAACCTTTATTTATACAGGTTAGTCTCATTGAGTCACGAGGACTCATTTAGAGAGACCTTTTTTAGACAAAACCACAGATAAGGTACACACAATAATAAACAATATGCAAATAAATTAAAAAATAACAAGGTAGTGTTATAAAACAAAATCAAATCAAGGTGCCATATAAATCAAGGTAAAATATATATAAAAAATATAATAATTTTGCTTTGATTTTTCTTTTGAACTTATCAATTGTTTAAAATCCCATAAAGATGTCAAAGTGGACAGCTTCAGGTCTTTGATAAAGAATAATTTACTTAATAAATATTTAATCAATAAATCTATAGCTTATTTTAAATGATCTAATACAAATAAAGTATACTTAAAAAGAGAAGCGTTACACATATATGGTGGAATATATTTGGAAAAACAACTTTGTGAAGAGATTTCATCACATTTTTGTGAATTTTCAGTTACATATCCAGTCCACACTCCAGTCCTGGAGGTGGCGCTAAAGAGTTAACACTTATGTCTTTTTAAACGAAGAAGAAGAAGCAGGCAAAAAAAAAAAAAAAAACCCGAAGAAGAAGCACACTTGACGAGTATGGAGACTTGCTGTAATTGAGACATTTTGACCTTCTCTATACTTTTAGCTTTGTTTCAGTGAGTATATTTTACCTTTTACCCGCTCTGGTAATATTTATGAATGTCGAAGTTTTCTGAGCTGTTCTCAAGTCTTATTGTTGTTTTTGTGGTGATACTGTACCGCTAGCTTCTGGTTGGTCATTTTGAAGGATATGATCTGAATACTGATTGTCGGATAAAAAGTGTTTAAAAGCTCGTTTTTATAATTATGTTGCTCCAAATACTTGTCCTTCATATATGACTTTAAATACACTTTATATTTTATTTCCTCCTGCAGTACAGTTCTGCAGGATGTCAGTCAAAAAAGCATCAGTCCATGCCCAGTGGATTCTGGGCAAAGTCATCGGGACCAAAATGTACAAAACGGCCAAAGTGAGAGTTACCAGACTGGTGTTGGATCCTTACCTGCTCAAGGTGAACCTTTAACAACTCATCCATGGCTGATACATGTATGTTGTGTTGTTTATTTGTCATATGCAGGATAACACAAGGTCAACAATGCAAAGAAATGTTCAGGATGAGAAGAACTGATTTGACTAGCTAAAAACAAAGAAAAACTAAAACATGCTATAAGGATACAAAATAAAGTACCAAAGAAAAAGAAATATATTTACAAGGTCCAAAAGAAAAACAGTAAACAACAACATGATAAAATATAACTGTGCAAGTTAGATGAATTTGCATAAATAAGTATTTCACATGTAGTAATATTAGCTTAAATGCACATCAAAAAAGGTTGAATCATGTCATCTGGACTTCGTTTTTTTGTTAAAAAGAAACGTTTCGCCCCTCATCCAAGAGGCTTCG